CAGTCTCTTCTTCCCTCCTCTGCTCTTTCCTGAAGAACCATCTTTCTGCTTCTGCAATAAACTGTAACCATCTTCCCAAAGCAGTCGCCATGTTGCTTATTTAATAATAATAATAATAATAATAATAATAATAATAATAATAATAATAATAATAATAATAATGATAATATTCCCGGCTTGGATGAATCAGGATGAAGACTTACTTCTGACACTAGCATCACTAAGAATAGCAACATTAATGAACCAGACTTTGTTTTAGATCAGGCATGTTATGAACAAGATGGCTGTCTGTTTGGATCTTAAAGTCCCATAAGATCTTAACCTCTCATTTGCAAAACCTTCTCAACTTGATGGTCCCAGTAGTTTTTACCACATTCAGATCCAAACCTCTGGCAAAGTTTCCAATCAATAACTTTGGCAACTTGGTCATGGTGATGTCTGTAGTCAGTTTGTGAAATTGCTGCAGTCACTGATTAAATGGTCAATTGTTTCATTCTTTTCACTACAAAGGTGACATTTGCTATTGCAAACATTTGCTATCTACATGTTGAATTTTCACCTTCATGCAATTAAGGGGCAAAATTTGCTTTGGAGTAGCTAAAATAAAGCTTTCAGTTCCTTTATTTAACACTCCTGATTTAAGCAACTCCATGTGGGTTTTTTAATCAGCTCTTTCCTCTCTACTCTTCGATTAACAAATGTGTTTTCAGCTGATTCTTTTCTGTATTCAGCTTCCACCTTTGTTGTTTTCAAGAAATTTCTTTGACTGACTTCCTTCAGCAAGGGTTTTTTGCTTTTCTTAATGTAGTCACTCAGGCCGTGTTTTTCTTCGTCCACAGTTTGTTTCACCTGTAGAAATTCTCTAATCTGTTCAGTTCTTGGTAAACACAGATGATCAATATCAATTTTTGGGGTACAAAGCATGGTACACTATCATTAGTTTTCTTTCAATCCAAGTTACCATCTGGGTCTAGTCAACAATCCCCGCTTTATATTGAACAATACGGACAGCCCAGGTTATTATTAAATTATTGTTACTATTACTAATTAACTGATCACAATTTGTGAAGTCACAGCTACCTGTTTGTTACTGGTATTGGCCTTCATATATACTGAGTTCTTCCCAAGAATCCAGGATGTCACAATGTATTGTTGTGACATATGCAGATCCAAGCAGTGTGGATTTTTGCAATTGACAGATGGAAATGTTGCTAATGTGCAGAATTTCTACGTGCCATACAAGATTGTTTGGTATGGGACCCAATGTATCGATAATAACCACTCATATCACTCTGAATGGTTTATAGTAATAGCAATAGTACTTAGACTTATAGACCACTTCACAGTGCTTTGCAGTCCTCTCTAAGCAGTTTTCAGAGTTTTCACCCAACAATCTGGGTCCTCATTTTACTCACTTCAGAAGGATGGAAGGCTGAGGCAACCTTGAGCCGCTCAGAATTGAACTGCTGGCAATCGTCAGAGTTAGCCTGCAACGCTGCATTCTAACCATTGCGCCACCATGGCTATAATCTATAATATAATTCTATAATCATTAATTATTACTATGCTTGGTCACACAGTCAGCCAGAAGTTTAGACTGGATTTCTATCCACCTATCAAGTTTTCCCAAGGATGTGAGATAGGTAGGTATTTGTTTGATGTAAGCTCTTCCAAGTAAAGCTTCCTTTTGCAATTAACTGCTGGGGATTTAGTCAGTACTGATGGTGTTCAAGTGGTGCTCCAGAAATTTTGGAATTGCACCCAAGATAAAACTATTATTATTGATATTATCTATCTAAGTTCATCTATTTTCAGATCTTTATATTTTGTGATTTTCTCCAATTCTTTCTCTGCATGGATGAAGGACATGATTCATTGTCATTATTTTTCTGGTCTTCTTATTCAGGCCTTTTGCACACTCATAAACATACACACAGATAATCCTCTTTAGATTTGGGTGCTATTTTTTATTTTTTTTATTTTTTTGCAGTGTATGCTCTCCCATTGGTAAAAGTTCAATCACCCTTGCTTCAGCTTCATATAATCTGTCTGTCCGTCCGTCCGTCCATCCATCCATCCATCCATCCATCCATCTATCCATCCATCCATCCATCCATCCATCCATCCATCCATCTATTATCTATCCATCCATCTATTATCTATCCATCCATCTATTATCTATCCATCCATCTATTATCTATCCATCCATCCATCTATCCATCCATCCGTCCATCCATCCATCCATCCATCCATCCATCCATCCATCCATCCATCCATCCATCCATCTATTATCTATCTATTTATCTCCACAGCCTTAGGCTGCCTTTAACTTTGGACTTTCCATCTGGCTTAGATGAAGAGGACAAACTCATTTACATAAAGTATGTTCTATAAGATAATGGAGAAAAATGTGGGCAAAAATTGTTATTACAGAATATTACATAATAACAAAGTTGGAAGAGATCTTAGAGGTCTTTTAGTCCAACCCCCTGCTCAAGCAACCCCCTGCTCAAATCTATATCATTTCAAGCAATTGGCTGTCCAGTCTCTTCTTAAAAGCCTCCAATGATGGAACATCCACAACTTCTGGATGGTCACCAGTTAATTTTTCCACCGGTTAATTTTTCTCACTGTTAGAAAATTTCTCCTTAGTTCTAGGTTGCTTCTCTCCTTGATTATTTTCCATCCATTTTTTTCTTGTTTTGCCTTCTGGTGCTTTGGAAAATAGGTTGACCCTTCTTCTTTATGGAAGTCCCTCAAATATTGGAACACTGATATCATGTCACCCTTAGTCCTTTTTTTACTAGACTAGACAAACCCAATTGCTGCAACTGTTCTTCATATATTTTAGGCTCCAGCCCCCACCCACCTTTGTTGCTCTTTTCTGCAGTCTTTCCAGAAGCTCTACCTCTTTTTTATGATATGGTGACCAAAACTGGATGCAGTATTCTAAGTATTGTCTTACTAAGGCTTTATAAAGCAGCACTAATACATCATGTAATCTTGATTCTATTCCTCTGTTAATGCAACCTAGGACTGCATTGGCTTTTTTGGCTGCTGGAGCACATTGCTGGCTCATATTTAAGTGACTGTCCACTAGGACTCCAAGATCCCTCTCACAGTTACTGCTATTGAACCATGTTTCACCTAATCTGTACGTGTACATTTGGTTTTTCTTGCCTAATGTAAGTATAAAATCTGACTTTTCTCTACATTGAATTTCATTTTGTTTGATAGGGGTCAATGTTCAAGTCTGTCAAGATCCATCTTTAGTGTTTAGTGTTATCTGCAAATTTGATGAGTTCCCCTTCTATTGCCTCACTAACATGGTTTATGAAGATATTGAAGAGTACAGGGCCTAAAAAATGGAACCTTGTGGTACCCCACTGCTTACTTTGCTCCATGTAGATGTATTTCCATTAAGGACTACATGTTGAGTGTGATTTGTCAGAGAGTTAAAAATACATCTAGTGGTGATGCTGTCCATCCCACATTTTTTAAGTTTACCAAGAAGTAGGTTGTGGTCTACTTGTCAAATTATTGAATGATTTCAATTGAGTTCAACTGAAGCAACCATTCTGAAATGATTCCCTACCCATTGCTGACCAAAAGACCATAAATGGATTATTGTTCAATGCAATTTTGCTATGAAAGTAGAAACAGCATAGCTTACTGAACGTCCTTTCCTTTCCTTTTTTCGTTAAATTAACTGCAAGATACTTTATCACTGTCTATTACCATGACCTTGTTCTCTGTTCTTTTTCCAAATTTGCAAAGCCTAGCTTAATATCCCCAAATGTCCTTTGGCATACATATACACGATAATAGAAGAATATATCAATGATGGATTAAGGAAAACATAACATTCCAAAGGTTGGATGGAATAGTGAATTCAGTCTTAGTGCAATCTATTAGAAAGTATTCTGATTTCTATTCTTCCACTTTCCAGTGAAAAGACATACCACATACTACATCCACACACAGTTCCTAGCTCATCTTTGTTAAATCTGAAGGAAGTGTCTAAAATAGCATAGATTGACATTCCATAAATTGGAATCTTTTTGTACTAACTTTTAGTTATCTTAGTGTTTGTTATTTTAAATATGTTTATATGGACTGTTCATCTCCTGGAGCAGGTGAGATAATTTTAACTGCTTTTTCATTGTTATGCTTTAATTAGAAGCACCTTAAGACTCTAAGCCTAAGGTATTCTTCAAACAACTGAAAAAGTAAAATTATATCTTAGTTGATCAATTGCTATCTAATTGCATCAATCTAGTGATATTACATTTCAGACCTATGGAGTAAAAACAGAAGTAAAAACAGAACCTTGAAACTATATTTGCTGCACTTACAGTAAATACAAATTTCTGTACATTTCTTACTGCTTCAAACAGTTTTTGTCAAAGCATTGGATAGAAACTGTTTGAAGAAGTAAGGAAATATACACTATAAATACTATAAATACTCATGATTGTTTTTGCTTTGTATAACAGTAAATGAATTGAATTCTTCAATTACATCCCATTATTAATGACTAAGAAAAGCCACAGGTAGCAATTCTAATAGTGCCAAATAATTTTGACAGTAGTCTACAGCAATGTGCATTAGACTATTTTTTAGATCACCCATTAATCTACAGGAATATTCTAACACAAGTAGATTATAGGTTGCATTTTTTTTTCATTCTCTGCAGAATCAGATTATATTCAGAGATGTATGCGATTTCTTCTTCATTACCTGCATCCAATATTTTTGCCATTCGTGTTCTCTAACAATGGACATTACAGAAAATATATTATTGATCAGCATGATGAATATGATGTAATAACTTCAACTGTTTTTTAGAAAAAATTGAAAGATATCTAAGTCACCTCTTCATTCTTGCAAAAATAAGTTACAAAATGATTTCTTCACCAAATATGTTTTACAGCTCCTACTTTAGAACATAAGTTTAATAATTTTTGAAAGGAGAGAGACATCTTTATTTAGACATTTACCTGAAGGGTAATGTTCATTCACTGGCCATCCATCTACCTGAAGTGTTGCATTACCACCATTTCGGGTAAAACGCACAACATGGTATTTGCCATCATTCACAGGAGTGCTCTCCTCTTTGATAGAGATATCTACTGTGCCAATATTGAAGACTACACCAATTTTACCTTGTTCCTGTGAAGAAAAGAAAAGAGTTGTGGGTAAATTCTGGAAGTATGGTCGAAAGATGGATATATTTTGCTCAAAGTAATAAGATCAACATACACAAAATGAGAATGCAGGACATATTTGCCTTTGTAAGTCATACAAAATAAGACTTGATATAAAGCATAATAAAATGATATTCTAAATCAAGTGAAGCGTGGTGGCTCAGTGTCTTAAAGACGCTGGATTTATTGGCCAGAGAAGATTGCCTCTCTGCACTCCACAGTTGAAGCCTTAGCACCATGTGACAGAGTGAACTCCTGTCACTCGCCTCAGCTTCTGCCAATCTAGCAGTTTTAAAGCATGCAAATGCAAATAGATAAATAGGTACCACTATGGTGGGATTAAGGGTGGAAACAAAAATCCAACCAGCGCTGGTCTGGCCAAATGAGAGGCAAAAACTGGTGGGGGAAAAACCCCAGATGACACTGCCACCGCCACAGAACTTTGTTAGCTGTTCTGTGTATGGAGCTAGTTCACCCCCTCTGTGGTGTACCCTGGATAGTGAGTGAAAGAACTAGCAATTTTAGGCAGCCAATCTTAGGCAGCCAAACTATTACTCTGTAATAACTTTGTAGATTTCTGGCTTTCATGTACCAATGCTATATGCTAAATAAATAAGTAAAAGCTACATGAAGTGTACCCTAGACTCATTTATTTCTCTAATTCTTTTAAAATCTTATTTTACTCAAGACTGGCATCAGAAATCGTAACAATATAACATTTAATATAACATTTAAAATGAAAATGAGCATCTGCTTCTGATTTTAAACAAGATAATATTGATCCCATCTGCAGTTTTTATTCCATACAGTTACTTCAAAGCCTGAACAAAAATTGCACTTTGAAGACCAATATTGCAAAAGCCAATTTTACAGCCAGAATGACTTATATGTGGCCAATAAAAGAAAACTGAACACATAAGCTTAAAACTGAACGCTTAAGGTAAAGCACATAGGAGAAGCCAGTTTCCTAGGATTGAATCCATCTGTGCTCGTGGTGTCCAATTAGCATTCTGATGAAGTTGCATTGTTACAGTAATATTACCATACAAATGGATCAGGAAAGAATGAATATATTAACCAAACACTTCACATGAGTCTAGTTGAATAGTAACACATAAACTCTATATGAACTATTCCTAGATTATTCCTGGCCTCTTCACTTAAAAGTGATCAGATAAAAGATGAACAGAAAGATGATGGGATCCTGTGGTCCCATTACAAAGGCTGATTCTAATATATTTCTAATTATGTGAAAGGACAAGAATATGTGTATTTTTCTGGGGACTGACATCAGATGGGCAAAATACAATCTACTATATAATATTTTTGATATTTGTTCAGTAACTTCTATGGGGATTACTGAGAACATTATTTTGATTTCCTTTGGATGGCCCATCATGGAATGGAAAAGAAGATGGCGTGGAACTAGGGGCTGCGATGTCAACTGAGCCATGGAAAGAAAAGATTAAAAAGAGAAGGAAAGGAAAAAGAAAAAAAGGGGGGGAATGAGAACAAAGATAGAGAAAATATAGAAGAGGACCAGGACTAGTATAATTAGACTGGTTGGTTAGGATCCAAGGAAAACTGACCACAGTGAAATGAACAACTGGGAGTGAACTCAGACCTCATCTTGGGACTCTGTAAATATATGTGATGGTGGCAGAAGAAGCATAAATCAAGCAATCATAGGGAAAGAATGTGATAAGAATTAAATTATCTGTTCTTAGAGCAGGAGTCAGAGAATTGAGAAGAAGACCCTCTCCTGCTCTTGCCCTAGATAACGAAATGACATGAGGGCTGATTGTTCTAGTACTAGAAGGTGCCACTGGGATGTGTGGTTGTGGTATGAATATAGCTGCCAGATGGGGTTGGAATGGATACATCAGATGCAATTGGACCATTACTATATAGCTCAATTGGCTGACTAGAAGAAGGGTGATGGAGAACTAAATGGTCAGAGATGGAAGAAGACATCATTATATACTGCTGCAGTTGAGTTAAGGACTCTCAATAGTTCAAATATATATATACATATACAATTGAAACATTCATGAGAAAAATTTTAAAATAAAAGAACAATAAAAATATACAGCATCATTCCCCAAATAATCTATGAAATCTCATTTAAACTGTAATACAGAGAGGAACCAATCTAATTTTAACCAAGAGGCTATTTCTAAGGAACAGTTTCTCCAGGCTGTGTCTTCATTTACTTCTGGAAAGTGGGGAACCCTGTGCTATTTCTCCTGGAAAGATTGCATAGTTCAGGTCATTTCCATCTGGAGAACTGGACCAGAATGTTTTTCATTACTATTTTTTTTTAAAAAACCACTGTTGATTATTGTTATTTTATATTATTGCTTTTATTGTAACTTAAATCTACATATACATTGCCTGGAGTCCAACTAAGATGATGGATGAATCCCATAATTAAGATAAATTAAATCTCTGGAATATCAAATTAAACAAAGAAGACTTGTTAAGAATTTCTTTCATTGCCATCTGCATGCATGTTTTATTAGTCTTATTTCAGTTCTACTTTATTAGTCATAATCTATCTTTTTCACACACATGCATATACACAAAAGGCACAATTGGTTCCTCAGCATGAATTCTTAATGGATTCCCGACTTAAGAAAGCAGCTGTATCTCTTTAAAAAAAAAACCTCCAACACCTTATTTGACAAAACTAGGTATCTGGTCTCTGTTAAGTTTGGGGTGACAATGTTCATGTAACAGTAAGATTTATAAAAACATATGTCATTTCATTCTTTCTTGAAGATTTAATAAAAAATGTCTCAGTATAGAGAATATTTCTTCTGCTACATTTCCTATACTCCTGATGGACCTTTGTCAAGAGAGGCTGGTAAAAATATATTTCAAGGCAGGACATTGAAATATAAGATAAAATAAAGATATGTTGTTCATTTCTGACACTGTGGAGTCCTGTGTACAACAAGCAGTGAGAAAGAACCATAGATGATAGATGAATTTCTTCTGTATTTTCTATGTATACAAAGCAGCAACAAGTCATTAACAAGCAGGCAAAATAGTTATTTAATATTGTTAGGCATTTTGAAATTTACCCACCTACATCTATATCCCCCTGATATGTCATGATATAACTCCTAAAATATGGCTACTTTTGTTGCTTGAGAGTTGTAGACATGACATTTTATGAGATTGTTTACATCTGACTTTTATAATTTCTAAGAATATAAAGTACAATTGTATATGCTCATTGTATTCCAGTGTTTATTAATATGCTTGTATTTTCCAAGGTGGCCTAATCATTGTTTACACAGAAACAGTCTCTTTACCAAAGTTTTAATTCCAATGTCATCCTTTGCTTAGTTCCTTGTACCAGTTTAAAGAGTAATAGTCTTAAAGTTTTTAATATCTTTGCAAACTTTTATGTTATTCAGATTTACTTTTCTGAGATGAAAATATCTAGGAAGCAAATGGAATCTTCCGACACTTGCTTAGCTACAAAAAATACTTTCCATCTCATAATGATTAGAAAAAAAGCATAAATACTAACCTGTCATTTCCTGACAATTGACAGCAGTTGAACTAGCAATTGCCTAAAACAGAGACAGCCCTATATTACAGGCACCATGGAATGTACCACATAATGTTTTAACTAATAAACACCTTGATCAAACTCAACTCAATTACTGGATGTCTGCTATGGCATTGGGACTGTACCTTAATGATTATTCAGAGCTGTCTGTCTTGGCCTATAGAGTTGCTCTCTCTTTCTGTATGTCTCTGTGTGTGTGTGTGTGTGTGTGTGAGAGAGAGAGAGAGAGAGAGAGAGAGAGAGAGAGAGATATTTTAATCTGTGGTAAAGGAATTCTGCTCAAAAAGACAGCCCATAGTTCAGAAAAATAGATAATTTTTGTCACTAGCCAGTGAGCAGAAACATTGCAGGACAAAGAGAAACAAGGGTCAGATGATTTTTTGACAACATAGATCAGCTGATGTTCTCTTTTGCAAGCTGCACAATAGGCTGCAATTACTTTCACCATTTGCCCACAGCAAATATGAAATTATTGCTATAATTACATAATGTATAGCCCAAAGTATTATATGATGAAATACAGATGTAATAAGAGTTTTCATATGGCTCAGTGCGACCACAACTGGCGTATTATTTCCTTACACATATTTCTTTATGAGACATATATTGACAAACTGGGAGTTCTGAGATTTTTTTTGAAAGATAAATTGATTGACGATATTGATTTATAGAGAGAGAGAAAAAATTATGTAGAGCTATAATGGCATATAATCAAACTATTTCAGCATACCAAACATCACCAAGCAACCATAATTATCACCTCCTCCACATTGCACAATGCAAATGTATACTGAAGTTTAATTTAATATGTTCTGTCAGTCAGATACTATTCAATTTATATAAAATCAAGATATGTCATACAACACTTTTTAGTTGGACAGCAGCTATATGTAGAACATGGCATGTAAAACTACTGCCTCTTGGTTATCAAGCCCAATTAAGTAAGGCAAAACTTTATGTAGCTGACCATCTGATTATTATTTTTTTTTAAAAAAATACTATTTAGCAAAAATGAAAAGAAAGATAGCCTGGTAAAATCTCAACAGAGCAAGAGTTTCATAATTATGGTACCTCTATTATTTGGGACCTCTATTTTGGAACTAACACTTGCCATTATACACCAAAGAAGACAGTGACTAGAAGACTAGACTTTGCATTGTATTCAGGCAGATTTCTATTTCTTCCATTCAATCATAGTTGACTTTAAAAGCTGAATAATTTCTTATGGCTATCAAATATGAAATGAGTTCCCGATATTGCAAGATGAAATCACAAGATGATTAGCACAGCAACAGAAGTTCAAGATATAAAGATTTCAACATTCATTTCTGTAACTTAGTGAGATTTATTGTAAGGCTTAATTGCTTCAAGGCCTTTCCTTT